CAAACTCGTCCGCAAGTGAAGAACCATACGCCGATTTGGCCGAATTATGAATTCGTATTGATCCATTCGGACAGCGTCTAAACTCCGGAAGTCCGGCGATACGTTGATTGTTCAGATTTACTGCCAATTTCCGAGTGAAGCAATTTGGAACCTTCCTTGAAAAAAAAAATGCTGGTTTTGCTGGCTACGGTGGATTTGCGATGACTGCGCCTTTGTCCCAGTGACCATATCTGGAAATTCACTTTTTATTCATTCACCGACTTCATTTCTTTGTGTTTATAACGAAATATTCCTCTTTCATACTATTTTGTTTAAACTTTGCTACGGAGAATGATGCTATCCAAAAGTATTTTAATTCTCCGAGCGTAGTCCCCATTTAAATTAAACAATCCACTTTGTTATTTACGAATGTTTGTATTCAGAGATTTACATCTTAGAATCTGCCTGCAACCGGAAATTAACAGTTCTGTCTCACCTGCTATTTCTCCCATTCAAGAGGAAGAGTTATTCATGTCTCGTCCAAGTGTTATCAGGCGAAATTAAGGAACTATTCCTAATAACATTAACAACAACACCAATAAAAGCAAAAATTATAATAATACAGGCAGAGCAACCAAAGCTAATCGCCCAGACAACGTTATTAGAGACCGTAAACAAAAGGAATTGCCTCATTCTTGATGCGGCTGTCCTTGTAGAGAGAAATGTATCGTTAAAGATCTTCAAAAAGGTATCATAATACAAGGACCTTGAAATCGAAACCTCAAAATATGGCACATGAGAACATAAACAATTCCTGTTGTAGTTAGAACACTCAGATTCGTTCAAAGAGATTCCAAATGATACGTTAAAGGGATTCCTGGATACCCGTGTCTTAAAGAAATACAAAAATTATCACGAGTACAGTTCACACATTACGAAGGTCTTTATCTATGTAAAATATGTGCGTGTTTTTTTTTTTTTTTTAAATTTTTCAATCGAAAATGTCATGATGCCATTTCTGAACTTAGGACCCAGAAAGAAATGAGGACACACCAGAAATTAAAAGAAATAAAACAGTAAATATAATAATAATAATAATAACAGCAGCACCATTTTTCGTTTCGATTGTTTTTTCTTCTACTGTTTTTATTTATTTATTTATAATTATTTATTTGTTATTTATATTTCATAATATTTTAATATATTAATAAATAATATATTATTTGTTATTTAATAATTTATTATTATTTATATTTATTATTATTTTATTTAATAATATTTTAATAAACAAATAATATATTTTTATCTATTTATTATTTATTTATCGTTATTTATTTATTTGTTATTATTTATTTATTTATTTAATATCTTAAGTGCTTTTCCTCCACTTTTATCTGCATAAGATCTTTGGCTACTTTATAAAAACGAGCCTTTTTTTAATTATCTGTCTTTAAAACAACAAGTTAATAATTACAGTCTGGTTTCGCCATCACTCAAAAGAGCCGAAAATCCCATTACGAAATATAAAACACAAATAATATGCAATATTAAAGGCGGAATACAATCTAGGTTGAAATTACGTCAAATCCTAACAGACACTCCCTCTGTGTACAGATGGAAAGTTGTCTAGACCGGACGTAAATTGTTTCCACTACCTTCAACTGAAAAAGCGAACGAGCACAACTCAAGATAGTAAAAGAGTCCTGCGTGATTTAATGCATATCAAAAATACAATTTGGGCACAAGGCCTAAAGGGGGAATGCGTTGAGTCTGGTCGTCACTTGCTGTCTTATACCTAGCTAATCTATTGATGACCCATTCACTCGTTAGAATTTGCACATCCACGACAAGAACGCATTAATCACCACTTAATACCATAATATCGCATAATCCCAGGTAACTTACAAAAAACACCTCATGACATAAAATCCTATACATAAAAATCTATAAATGATATACAATGAGGTGATGAACTCCAAAACAAACTAAAATAACAAAGACAAAATAAATATAACTGATGTTAGTTGGACCCGGCAAACAATTCAAAAAAAAAAAAAAATGAGAGAGGCCGCTGTATCCTGACTTTAGACAAAATCAAGTGGCTCTCTCACGAAAGGAGAGGGAAAATTTAAAATAAAGAGAAAAGAAGAAGTCTGACCTATTCAAGATGACAAAGAGGGAGGCAAGACGAAGAGGGGAGGTTGAGAATCTCGATTTGGATCATAATCAAAGTAGAAGCCGGGAAAAGGCCGTGAAAAACTCTTACTTTAATTAGGTACAAAAAAAGGTTTATCCTGACCAGGAAAGGACTTTACAGGAAACCACCCCGATGTGACATTAAGCAGCCCTAAAAAAAATCATGGCTCGCCCCGTTCACACGAACTAGGCTCGCCTCAGTCAACCACCTTTCGCTGAAATCCGTCGAAACCAATCGCTTTCTATCAGTTGTAATCTTCAGCTTGAACAGATACTCAAAGTATCGGAATAGATCCGGATGTGAATAACGGTTAGCTCGCAAGACTTCCTCTAATCGCGTCGTCCAAATCACCATTCGGGCCATGGCCAGCAGCCATAGAAACACCATCCGCTTCACCGCAGAATACAAGGGTGCCACATTGTCACACGCGTATGTGT